GGCTTATACACCCGCTCAGCACCTGGCACTGTGTTACACATTCATTAGCACTTGTTGTTGCAGGCCTCTGTGGCCAATTAGATCATTAAAGCTGAAAACAGGCAAAAGATCCTATTAAGTAACACGCAATCTACTATTCTATTTAAAAGTGGGTGGTATGAAAAATAAAACACTGACTTTACTAAAAAAAGAATGTAGACATATTGCACTGGTAGTATTGACTGAAAGACTCTAGTGCCAAGTTTTTAAGTTCTCTTTTTCTCACTGGAAAAGTTATGCATTAATTATGATGGTGGTGAGTCTGTTGGTGTAGAATAGTAATAATCCTGCTTTACTTCTAAAATGCTTCACGGAAGTGTTCTGAAGATAATGAAATGAAACCCCTTCCCCAAATACATTTGCATATAAAAATGTTTTTCTTGCATTACTTTTTTAAATAACTAGGAATCTCTAATTTACTTTAAATATTACAGGTCATCATTTTATTTAAAAAATATGATCTACCGATAAACACCTGAATACAATGAGTAAAATAATTTTACATGCTGCCACAGAAGTAGTATTATGATTTCTAACATGTTACTATTGTTGATTCTGGTCAATACCAGTCCCTAAGCAAAAGAGTCACTTGAGGGGAGTGTTTCCAATCTGTGGGAAGTAACTTCTTGGTAAGTAGTAAATCAATTTACTGGGTCATGACCAGCATTATTTTTAATGAAAAAGAATAAAATAGAAATTATTAAAGTACATCACAATCACTTCAGGTGCGTAATGAGTGAGACCAAGTGAGTATGTGTATTAATGTGCATTTGTATTACAGGGTCAAGATGTAAAATGGAATTCCAATAAAAATGCTGAACACCACTGTTATTCTTTCTGCTTTTTAAGAGATAACATGGCTCTGCACCACTGTGCACCATTGTGCAAACATGCTTTCCTCTTAACTGATCCATTTCCTTTCACAACAACCTACTCGGACTTTAATTATTTCCCCTTTCTTCACCTGTTGGAATTCACTTGCTTTGACCTCAAAATATTTTTCTTTTTTGGTTCCTAACTGCAGATTAAGTTGATAGAATATACTCTGCCTTAAATAATTTTAAATATTTTAGAAATTTTAATAACCAAGGTACCATATAACTTATCGTCCAATCCAGGACACCTATGAAAGAGGCACTTGTCTATTACTCGGCCGCTACAAAAGGGCTAACCCAGTCAGTACAGTTGCTCTATTAATAACTTAGTGATACTGTGTTTTTAATACTGCCAGTATAAAAAGGGCATCACTTAATTTAAATATTATTAAACACAAAAAAGTCAATAGTAAAATTAGAAGTCCAAAAGCATTTAATACGAACTACATGAAATTTCTGATTTTTAATGAAAATTATGCAATGTTCTTATTATTAGACTATATAAAGAATTACCCAGGAAAAGTCTGTATGACCACATAAAAAGTTAACCTAAAGAGAATAAAGCTTGAAAAAGAAGTCTACCAATAGTGCAGTCTATGTTAACTGTAATAAATTCTTAATAGGTATACCTTAAAAAAAAATAAGTATGCCTTGAATTTACAATACAGAATATAAAGTAAACCCTTTGGCACTAGCCTCTTTAGACAAAAATTCATTTTAAAAAAGGTAAAAAAAAAAAAAGTTTCATAAATGAGCATCTACCATGGAAGGCACACGGAAATTATTAAACAATTATTGGAACCTGCCCAACGGAGGACAAACTGGGTCAGTTCTGGGCAAAATTTTAATCTGTGAAGTTTATTCTTTTTTGTCAACTGAACTCTGTCCCAGGTATGGCTACCCTTCTATGTCTTTAATTCCAAGCTTTCCTACTTTATTATTCATCATTTCCTTTTACTAAAGTTAGGAAGCATGTTGTTTAATTAATTAATTAATTAATTAATTTATGTTTGTGACCATATACATTAGTTTTGGTGTTACACAGTTCTGGCATATTAAGCATTTTCTAACTCTTAGGGCTTAGATTTCTTAGATTTCCTGATTCCCAGCTCTGTCTGCTTCATTTTTATTTTGTCATCTCCCCTTTCTCAGCTTTCTGCTAGAGGAAGCGTCCACAGATGATAACCTTTAGGGGATATACCTAAATACAGAAACATATATATAGAAAACTTTTTATCTGTGGATGAAATAAGTGCATGTTTCTGGGATGGGGTCCACAGCTTTCATAAGACAGCTATTTGGGGAAGTAGAGGAGCATTCTTTTGGGTCTATTCAGGCTAGCTAGACTATTTCTCTCCCTCCAAAGACCACTAGTTCCCACAGAAGAGGCCAGGAGCCGGTGTCTTCTAAGGAAGCTTTGGGGTTTATTTGGGGTTTATCATAACCAAGCCGGCCTTTAGCATACTGTAGGGATACCTACGCTTTTTCTTCAAGAGCAGGCCACATAAATAAAATCCACATGAATGAAGACTACTTGAATTAAGAACATGGGTACCAGACATTCTTATGGAGGCTTTAGTCCTACCTATTTTCCTTTTACATTGCTTCAGTCTTGTGATATACTTAGATTAAGGGAAAGATTTTTTCAGATGATTCTGTACTTTTTTCATGAAAACAACAACTACCTATTTTTGAGAAGTAATGCTTGTTACTCATATGAACTGATGAATCTCTTACAATGACCTGGTGGAACCCTCCAGAAACTACAGGTTGGGACCACTGACTTACACCACTGCAACTGATACGGAGGAAGAAAACAGGCATGTGGACTTTATAAATATAATACAGAATGTTTCATTTGGAAAACAAAAAATAAGAAAGCTTATTAAAAAAAACTTTGTAGTTGGCATGAACAAGCAGCAAAGACATCTTCTGTATAGCTCTACTGGTCAAGAAGCTTTCAAAAACGCGGGGGGACGTTTCAGAATTTCTAAGAAAAGGTGCATGAGTTTTTTATTTTTGTTAAAAGTGGTTATGTGCTGTGGAAAATACCACCCTAAGACTTTCTTCAGCTTTTCATTTCCCTTCTCTTTGCCTTAGGACTGCCAAACACACACCTTTTATTTTCTAACTCTTCTGACATTTTGGTTAGTATTTAATGATATTTAAAAAGTAATGTTCTCTTTTTTTTCTTGATGACCAAAGAAATCTATCCCCATTCATCCTATATTAACTTTTTCTTTAATAATGAAATTGTTTAGACAATAAAGTGTTCATTAGAATGCACCCCTGGTCAGTGGAGGGCTACAATCAGTTATTTATAAAGAATTAATCCTATGTTTTAAAAGATTTTCAGACGAAATAAAAGCATTTTTTAATGGCCTACAAAACCTGTACTGGAGAGATGCGCCTCACTGAATATTTGCAATTATCTGTCTGAATTGTCAGACTGAAATATTTTTTAAAGTCCTCGAAAATCTAATCCAGGCCTGTTTCTTGGGTCCTTGGCTCTTTGTAAGGCTCATTTATTCAGTCTTCACCAGAATGCTCCCCACTTTAAACCTAACCTCTTTTAGGATTTTCAACGGCTTTTGTTCTGTATGTGGCAGACCATCGTGATTGAAAACAAAAGTCTAGGATAAGAAATCCTTGATTTTTCCACTCTGCTATTAATAACTACATAAATCTGGGTACCTTCACCTTAAGTCTTGACTTGTCTAAGACCTAGTGTTCTGTAAAACTGAGAGAATTACTGCACTTACAACTCATATGGCGGTGTGAAGGTTAAATGTTACGCAATTCGGCTGCACAGCACAGAGCCTGACACATAGTAAGTGTACAGTGAAAGTCAGTGACTGTGGTAGCAATAATTATGAAGTTCTGTTTCTACAGTCTTTTATTTTCACTGCCTCCCTGCCTCTAATGTCTGCAATCCCCTTTCAAGCCTGATGAAGGTAGGAGTAATATTATAAAAACTAAAACCTCACCGTAGGAGGTTACTAATCCAGTAAAGTAAAACTCACTCTATTCTTCTTTTAATGCAGTCAACAGTCATCCCTGGTCATTTGTATATCAAGTCAAAGGATAAAGCAAAGAAGCAGAAGAAAGACATTAGTATGAATACAAGTGTGTCTTTGGTAGCAAGAACATATTGGATGTAAGCCAAGGGAAGACATGAGGAAGAACAAAAAAGTTGGGAAAACAGCAACTAGAAGGAAGCAGAAGGCAGTGATCTAAAAGAGCAAGAGAAATAAAAAGACTGGAAGGAGAGTTTTAGGCAAAAGGATTTAGGTAGATATATTTAGAAAAGAGTATATTTTAAGACATGAGAGAAATGGGATTTGCTAAAGCAGGGTAGCTTGAAAGGCTACAAATGAAAAGAGCAAGGCGTTTTGTAGGGTAAGAAGCAGTATTACATATGAGTAAGCTAATACAATTTTTCACAGGCTGGCAATATGAAGAGTATCTGCAAGGCTGGGCTAACCAACCAAAAATAACACAGAAATGTGCATGTTGAGATTTATGTGTTGGCTGTATTTATTAATCCTAAACATAGTTTAGGAGTATTAAAAGAAAAATCTATTCAGTTGTCAACATGGGCCATTTTTAAGGCTTATCCCTTTAAAGATGTGATCTACAGACTAATGAAAACTCCTTAGTTTTAAGGTACATATTTGAAATTTCATAATAATTTTCTTTCCTAATAAAGCATTTCGTTAGGCTAGAACTACAATCCTTTTTACTAAAGAGAGGTTGCCTTACTGGAATCTACTCACAAAAATAAATTTAAAAATCAAAAAATAGTGTAATTTAAAAATCAATGGGAATTAGGCAGACTCAAAAGTCCCACACTTCTATTGGGTTATTTATTTATTTTTCCCAAATCAAGTCAATAGAAGCCAAATGAAAAAGAACTTGCTTAAAATGATATCTAACAGTTTACAAGTTGCTGAAATTTAATGTATATTCAGACTCAACTGTGCTTACCAAAGAAAGCTATAAATATCATCTGAATTAGCACCAGTCTGGTGGGAAAAAAAGTGTACTGAATCAAGCAGACTTGCTGTGTTATCTGTTCAAACATACCTGTACCAGTCAAAAGTCCAGCACTCTTCTTTCGTGCATAAGCGCGTAAGTGGTTGGACAGGCTAACAGCACTTGTAAACGTCGTATTGCAATGCACACATGTTCTAAGCTTCACAGGCATACCTATCATTCAAAAGAAAACTATAATCCAGTTCTCACTTCAAAAAGTGAAATTTTCTTAGCTAAAAGCGTGAAGAAAAGTACCACAATAAAGATGGTTTAAAAAACGTTCATTGAATTAGCTTAACTTAAAATAAGGAGCAGGGG